CTTAGACTTCGTATATAAAAATTAAGCATTTTAGTTACTTTATCCATAAAAATTACATAATAACGAAATATTATTTTACATAAACTAAAATAATGCCCTATGGATACGATTTTGTCTTTCTGTGCACTAAAGTCTAGATTTTACATATTAAGAAAAAATTATAGAATTTTTAACAAAATTCATATAGTTAAAGCTTTTTGGTTGCTATAACAAAAGTATTACGTTATACGAACAAACCATAATCAAACAAGATATTTGTTTACAGGAACTAAACAGTTTTATTGGACATATTTTAACCAAATTATTTTGTTGCAACAAAATTTTGGTTCACGCAACAATACATTTTTCCTAGTGTACGATCTCTCCCACGGGGAAAGCGACATGACATGAAAATGAAACACACCATATCATCGTGTGATCGACGAAAGACAACAAAATGGCCTCCGAAAAAAAACCTACCTCGCGCACAAAAATTCAAGGAACGCGCGTCGAGCGTGAGTACGAGTGACATTCGGCGTCCTTGACGAATAGTTTCGATTGCCAATACTCTCGCGTCTTGGAGTATGTCGAAATTGACCGGAAATTCGGATCAATGATTGAGCCACTCACCTGCCGACCGAAATGCCGCCGACCGCTTCGCCATCGCCGTTGCATCGCCTTCTCTTCCAGTCATGATGCCACTCGTTGTGCACTTATTGAACACTCGCTCGTTGCACATTCATTCCGCGCACACGAATCGGCCGAGAAACACCACTGACCGAGACTCCGCGACCGATAAACAATCACCGTCCGGCACTTGGCGTCCCGTTGTAGCTAATGGCGTCGCTCGACTAACCGTCGCGGCTTCTAGAAGCGGCGTGAAGTTGCCGCCGGGTGCCTGCGAATTTTTCAAGCGCTCGCAATCGCGACTCACTTCTAGTCGCGCGCTCGATCATCGCTTCGACGCCGATCGCGCTTCGCTCGTGTTTCCAACGTGTTTTCTCCTATCTATAATGTCTTTCGTTTCACGGATACGACTCGATCGAAAAAAGACATGACCGGTTCGCGCGCGCGCGCGCGCGCGTTAACAACGATACGACGACACGTGCGTCGGCAGAATGATCAGAAGTTTCGTCCGAGCGGCCGGCGCGATATTGTCACCTCGCAAATTGTCGTCTTGGCATTCCATATGCCCGGCATCGCGCGCGCGTTGATCCCGACATTTTGCCGGCTGCATTTCCTGGAGCGTGAACGTGCGCGCGCACGTTAATAAGCTCGTTCGGGAAAGTGCGGCCGAAGGCCAAGTTTAGATGCCCAGAGATACATCGGAGGATAGATTCCAGAAGGAGGCTGCGCGCTCGCGTAAACTATGCCAAGTTAACTTCTCAGGAGACATACACGCGCGCGCGCACACACACACACACACATAGACATCGTGTGTGCGCCAAATGTTCCCTCCGTTCGCGCTGGAATTGTGCCACCCCATATTTTAGCTTGCAACTTGCCCGAACGGTAATCTTCAGTCTCCCCGTAGATCGCCAAAGGATCGGAGCTCCGGTTAGTGCATTTCCACGTACACGTCGTAATTAGGATAAATTCCTCCGCCTAAACACTATCGTATTCACCTTGGCCAGAGTCATCGAGCCATTTCTGAATGTTAATCGAACTTCCTCGTCGCGAACTCGTCTTCGGGAACTCGCGTGAATTAGCATGACCGAGAAAAGGATGCCGCGTGGTGGCGACGATCAATCACGCTGAAAGTTCCTCGCGGACTGGCGTACCTGAGCTTTCCCGCTTCGACTCGATTTCCGCGAACGAGCACGTGCGGACTGTGACTGTCTCTCTCTTCGTCTCTTCCGTCTGGGGTGATCGGCGCCAACTCGTTGAAGGACATCGTCCAATTCGGACCAACGGACCGTGCTCTTGCTTCCTCGTATCTTCTCGTTTCTCGCGTTCCTCTCGGCAAGGCGAGCCGGACGGGGCGGGGCGGAGCGGAGACGATCGCTCGCACGCGGTGATTCATTCATGATTAATGTCCATGACGCGCGATTTGATACAAAACCCGACCCAGCCGCCGCCGTCAGTTTGACCAACTAACGAGGAAGCATAACGCATAACCTTATCTATACCTCCTCTCCATAAATCTCGCCCCGCGCGCGCTCTTTGATTTACGTGCCCTGTAGGCAGCGCGAGAACGAACGTTCGCGAAGAAATGCGTGGTATCTCGCGGAGAGCTGCTTACTGTTTACTTTCGCATCCTTTCACGCACAGCGGCCGGGCCCTTCCTCCTCCTCCTCCTCCTCCTCCTCCCTGCCCCGTCGCGACACGCTGTCAAAGAGGAGACGTATTGACAACACATCGCGTGCGTTTTTTGCCGCTTGCTTCGGTCAAAACAAAACAAACGAACGAACGCTCGCTCGCTCGCTCGCCGAATGGTAGACGTCCTCGGAACGATACACGTCCGAGCGAACGTGAACGCAAGTAAACCGCGCACGCTGGAAAGGTCCTGGCACATTAATATGTATAAACTTTTAATTAGCTGTCGTGTCGCACCGGCAGCGGACGGATTGCGGCGCGCGGCGCTGCTATTCGCAGAAACTAGTTATGAGCGCGGATAGACGCGGGAGCAAAAAGAGATTTCCATAAAAGAGGAGTGTATCGTAACCCAAACAACGTCGGCAGCCGTCGGGCCGCATATTCCACGCAGGGGCGAGGCTTTAAAAGTGATTCATTGCGAGTCCCTTCTCTCTGCCCCTCTCCGTTGCCGCTTCTCTCTCTCTCTCTCTCTCTCTCTCTCTCTCTCGCCTGCCGGACTCCGGAGATTACCTTCGTTTTACGCAATACATTAATGGATACTCGTCTCGTCGAATAAGTTTTACGTATAATGGTCCCTCGAATCGCGTTGGCTTTTCATATATATCAGCGAGACGAGAGATTGCGAGGCGTATCGCGAGAGCTCGATCTTTCGAGATGTATCGATCGCGCGCGAGTAATTCCTCCGCGAGGAGCGCCGGATGAAAGGCGCGCAAACGTTGCGCGCGCGCCGGCGGACTCGTTTTTCCGATAAACTGTTCTTGACGCGACGCGATCGTCGTCGACCAGGTCGGGAAATCTCTCGGGTGCCGCGGAGCCGCGAGAAGTAGCGGGACGGGACGGAACGGGACGGAAGGGGAGGGGAGGGGAATCGCGGAATGATACGGCCGTCGTTGACGGGTTAATTCCGTGCGCCCGCGCGCGCTCCGCGGCGAGGCGAGGCGATGCGAAAATCCAAAGCGGGCGCGCATACGTCTCTATTGAGACCTCTCGTTTCCGTGCAGCTGCGGCGGATGCATCTCGCCGATGCATTTCGTACGCGCCAATCGGCCGTATCGGGATCCGAGCCACACACGTAGCGCGACGTCGGCCTCTCCTTCTCCTCCGTTTCCTCCTCCTCCTCCTCCTTCTTCTTCTTCTTCTTCTTCTTCTTCTTCTTCTTCTTCTTCTCCACCCTGGCTCTGTTCTCCCTTATTCCAACGCGGGTATATAACGCGCCGCCACGGACGTCTTTATAAATAGCGACGAGCCCGCGTCGAGACGCGGCTAGCAGTTAACAAACGATAAAACTAACACCCGCCTCCTACAATAACATTTCGCTCCGGTCACGTGTTTTCCGCGGCTCGACTATTATAAGATCCATGACTGCTTCGATCCCTTCCTCCCTCGTTCCGCCCCTTTTCGGCCCTCCTCCTCTTTCCCTCGCCGTCCTCGGCGGCCGGTTTCTCTCTTCGTCTCTCTTCTCCCCTCAGCCCGCGTCGTACCCTTTCGCCTCCGTGCGTCACCTCCTCCACCCCCTCCGACGTGGTTGCACATTCTTCGAACGGATATTCACTCGGCGGGGATGGCACGGTTGCTTCGTGCCAAATCAAAGTTTCATCCGGTCGTGTCACTCTGCTGCGCGAATACGAATACTCTTTGTGCGTTTCATCGCGAGTGAAGAGAAAGAAATCCTTCGTACATGCAAAGCCAAAATAAACGAAATTACGAGCAGGATGAAATTTGTACTCGAGCAAATGCTTAGCCGAGAACGAGGAGAGTTCTTATTCCACGAGCGAGACTTTACTCCTCGGCTGTCATTTGTTATCCGTAAACTTGCCTGCCCAGGCTCTCTCTCTGTCTCTCTCTCTCTCCGAGAGGCATGGCGCGGCGTCGCGCGATCGCATCGGCTCAGGTCCGACTCGACTCGACTCGACTCGACTCGGCTTGGCTCCGCGAGAGACGTACCGGTTTCGAGCGCGTATCTAGCGAACGATCGCAACACCGACGTTGATTTATGTACGAGACATCCAAGCGCTACGCCCTTGCTCGTTAAGGTCGAGCGAGCGAACCAACGGCCAGACGCATCCCGCGCCGCGCCAGCTATTTAGGCATCGATCGCCGGCTCGGAATTTTACGAAAGAGCGGGTTACACCCGACCGGGTTACCGAAACCCGCGCGCTTTGATAGTCTGAATTGCAAACGAAGCGCGACGACGGTACCGTAGATACACGAGCGCCGGCTCGGCTCGGAATTAAGCTCGCATCTGCTCGGTTCCTCCGAGAACTCCAATGAATACTCTATCTCCGGTAAATATTCCTTTCTACACGCGAGTGGATTACGGTCTGTCCGCAGAAACGAATTATTAGCGATTACGGCCGGCCGACCAATTGACCGGCCATCAACCGGATCACCAGAGACTCGACGAGAGAGAGAGAGAGAGAGAGAGAGCGATAATGCGACGACGAATCGTACGCGCGTAAGAGCGTTAATGAGAGCCGAGTTAACGAGTCATCGCGTATCGGAGTCTGCTTTCTTAACCCGTGAAACATTCAATCTGACATACCAGGTCTCCCTCCTCCGGGCTCTCCGAAGGTCGGCGGAGAACAACAGCTTACACGTATCATGGCTTACACGTATCATGGCACCTTCGCGTAGCGATTACCGCAGCGCGTGGAGACGGAGTAACTGATTAAAGGTAAAGGTGGCTCTTTCGTTGACTGTTGCAGGCGGCAGTTATGCGAGCTACGCAGTCATGAACCGCACGTCCTTGAACATGAGACCCGCGCGACGGACGAAGCTGTTCCCAGCCCGAACGATGACGGGTATGTTGGCGTTGCTGCTGGTGCTGGCGACGACGTTGTCAGACGCGCGGTCCGAATCGGCGATTAGTCCGGTAGGTAGTGTGGTGGGGTCAGGTTCGGGTGTCTCGTCTTCGTCCTCGTCCGGCTCATCATCGTCGTCCTCGTCGTCGTCATCGTCGTCGTCGTCGTCCTCATCGTCCTCATCGTCATCGTCGGTGATCGGCGTGGTGTCCGACGGCGGCTCCAGCTCGGGCAATGGCGGCGGCATGGGCGGCGTGGCGAACGGCGGCAACGGCGTCATGGGTGGCGTCGGGGGCGGCATCGGCGGCATGAACGGCGGCGGCGGCGGCGGCGGCGGCGGTGGTGGTGGTGGACACTCGGCGATCGGCGGCGGCAACGGCGGCAACGGTCGCTGCGAGGAGATCACGATCCCCATGTGCCGCGGCATCGGCTACAACCTGACGGCGATGCCGAACGAGCTGAACCACGACAGTCAGGACGAAGCGGGACTGGAGGTGCATCAGTTTTGGCCGCTGGTGGAGATCAAGTGCTCGCCGGATCTCAAGTTCTTCCTGTGCTCTATGTACACGCCGATCTGCCTACCGGAGTACACGAAGCCGTTGCCGGCTTGCCGGAGCGTGTGCGAGCGAGCGCGCGCCGGCTGCGCGCCGTTGATGCAGCAGTACGGCTTCTCGTGGCCGGAACGCATGGCGTGCGACCGACTGCCGAATCACGGCGACCCGGACCGCCTCTGCATGGAGCAAGACAATCACACCAGCAGCACAGGTGGCAGCGGCGGCGGCGGTGGCGGCGGCGGCGGCGGCGGCGGCGGTAGCGGCGGCAACGGCGGCTCGCCGAGCAGCGGTGCTCCGGCGCCACCGGGTCCACCGGCGCGACCTACGCGACCCTCCAAGACCGCGCAACCAGCCCGCTGCAAGCCGGGTAAGAACCAAAAAAACTGCCAGCACCCCCCGGGGGAGAGGACGAGGGATTGCGCGTGCAGGTGCAGGGCGCCCCTCGTGCCCCTGGGGGCGGTGGGCACGATACTACCAGGACCGATAAGCGGCGTCAGCGGCAGCATCAGCGGAAGCACCAGCAGCGGGGTCGGTCTGGCCGGCATGACCGTAAACGGAGCGATTCCGGCGGCGGCGCCGCCGCCAATGGGAATCGGTCGCAGCGTCATCCAGGACATTGCGGGGGTGCAAGATTGCGCCCTACCGTGCCACGGCGCGTTCCTCACCACCGAAGAGCGAGGTTTCGCAGCCGTATGGCTGGCTCTGTGGAGCGGACTGTGCGCCGCCAGCACTCTGGTGACCGTCACCACGTTCCTGATCGACACCCAGCGTTTCAAGTATCCTGAGAGGCCGATAGTCTTCCTCTCGGCCTGCTACTTCGTCGTGTCGGTGGGCTACCTGTCGCGGAACCTGTTCGGCCACGAGGAGATCGCCTGCGACGGGCCGGCCCTCAAGTCCGGCGCTCAGGGCCCGGGTGCCTGCGTCACGGTGTTTCTCATGATCTACTTCTTCGGTATGGCGTCCTCGGTGTGGTGGGTGATCCTGGCGTTCACGTGGTTCCTGGCGGCGGGTCTCAAGTGGGGCAACGAGGCGATAGCGTCGTACTCGCAGTACTTCCACCTGGTGGCCTGGCTCGCGCCGACGGTGCAGACGGTCTGGGCGTATGTCGCCGGCGGAGTCGCCGGTGACCCAGTGGCCGGAGTCTGCACGGTAGCGCCCGAGGGAGTGCGCAACTTCATCCTGGCGCCTCTGTTCGTTTACCTGCTGTTGGGCACGAGCTTCTTGCTGGCCGGCTTCGTGAGTCTCTTCCGTATTCGCTCGGTGATCAAGCGCCAGCCCGGCGCCAAGGCGGACAAGCTGGAGAAACTGATGATACGCATCGGCGTGTTCAGCGTGCTCTACACTTTGCCGGCGGGGGTGGTGTTAGCCTGTCACATCTACGAGTCGACTCTGCGAGACGAATGGCTCAGCTCGCTGGCGTGCCCCTGCCGACCGCGCGCGAGACCGCTCTACTCCGTCCTCATGCTGAAATACTTCATGGCGCTCGCGGTCGGCATCACCTCGGGCGTCTGGATCTGGAGCGGCAAGACGGTCGACTCCTGGAAGCGATTGTGGAGGCGTTTGTTCGGTGGCGATCACGGCGCGACCGGCCATATGGCCGCTGGCGCTGGTATGGTGGCCGGGGTGACCGGAGTCAGCGGCGGTATCGGCAGTGCCAGCATCAAGGGTGTCGTGGGCCGCGTCGCGGTGCCGTATCCACCGGCGCCAGGTCCGGGTAGCGCTCTCCTACCGCCCGGCAGCGTCGCCAGCGCGTCTCAACACCACCTCCACCATCACGTACTCAAGCAACCTCCGCTCTCGCACGTATGACGTCACCAGTCGGCGGGAGGCGACATGAACACCGCTGGATGCGAGCAGCAGCAGCCGCAGCAGGAGAGGCCTTCCGCCCTCAGCAACTATGGGCCCATCTAGCCCTTCGCCTCGGCCTCGCGCAGGCACAACACGCCGCACACGGCACCGCATACCGCGCCGCACACTCCCCACTCGGCGGCGACGATATACTCCAGGAGATCGCTCGCGTCCACGACGGGACCGCTGACGCCGGCGCACGGCATCGCGCCCTCCTACACGCAAGCCACCGAGGTGTGAGAGCACGCGTAGACGAGCCGGAAGCTCGCGTCGCTGCATCATCAGATGGGAGACTATGACCAGCCGAGGCGCTGTGTCGGCGTGTGTCGTCATCATCATCATCGGCCATTTTTGCTTCGCGATGGACGACGAGCGACCGCGGTGCTTCTCGATTACCCGATATACGTATTAGCCTGTACGTGTCTTCTTCTCCCGCGGGAATCTCGAGAAATCCTCTCTTCGAGCTCATCGGGATGGTCGTCGTCGTCGTCGTCGTCAGCAGCAGCAGCAGCAATAGCAGCAGCAGCAGCAGCATCATCATCATCATCATCATCATCATCATCATCATCATCATCATCATCATCATCATCAACGATGTCAGCATGAGCATCTCTATCGTCGACGACATCCCCTTGCCGATTGATTCCAAGGATCGTGGCTGATGACTCGCGCGAAACCTGGTGAATCCTGGCGGACGCAGGAGGAGGACGGGTGCCAATCCGGCAGAGAGGGTCGCTCGAGTGCCGCGGTATAGTGAGATTGTGATTTAGAAAGACGAAAGACTTGGTGGGCGAAGAGCTGCGAGAGAGCAGCAGCGAACGGTCGATAGATTTCTCTGTCTTTATCAACATCTATCTATCTATTCTCTCTCTCTCTTTTTCTCTCTCTCTCTCTCTCTCACTCTCTCACTCTCTAATCTTACATTCTCGTAGCGGCGCTCGTAAAGCCCGCGTGTCCGTCTAACGTGTATCGTCTCGTCTATTTATCTAATCTAGCCGTTAAAAACAGAAACCACGTGGAGGTGTATGTGTGTATGTGTATGTGTATCAGCGATAGCGACGGCCTGCTCTCTCGCTCTTCCTGCCTGTTCTCCTCGCGAAAGGAGGCCAACTGCCGTGTTGTCCTCGGCGTCAAGCGAGTCGTCGAGGTCCCTTCCTCCAGGTCCTTCTCGCGAAACGACCGAACCAAAAATTCTTCCCCACTGCCATGCCTCGCGACAGAGAGTGATCGCGAAAGTCTGAAAGTAGTCCACCGAGACGAGAAGAGATCAGGCCGCCGCCCGTGATGGCGAACGCGCGCGCGCGCGTGCGAGATAGTGCGAACGAGTGTGTACAGGCAGGACGTCGGAGAATTAACGAGGCGGGAATGGACTACTGTAAATATTGTTCTTAGATGTTAGTCGCGCTGTAAATAAAAACGGTCGCCAGGCACGTTGTAGGGGTATTTCTGTTCTTTTTCTTTTCTTTTTCTTTTTCTTTACTTTTCCGAAGAACGCGAGGGTGGACGACCGCACTCGTGGCGCGCGATTATTCCCGACGCGCGGTCACGTGTTCCCCCCTCCCCCCCCCGTGACGAAGAGAGCAATTGTCAGAAGAGCGATAGTCTTGCCGTTCGGCCGCGGCTCTAAAGGTTCGCTGATTGGACCGCGTCGTGCAACGTCGAGCACTATAATCCGCCGACTTTCCTCGAGGCAAACGAAAGACAGACGCGAGGCTCCGGATCTTTGGGGGATTTGCAAGATTATTCACGCGCAATCACACGAATGGACACATTCTTTTTTTTTCTTTCACGTCTCATTGACGTTTTCCTCAATCTCGGCAGGTTGCTGCGAGATTAATCGTCGACATCCTGCGACGAAAATCTCAGGAAGGTTGACGAAATCTGCCAAAAGTGTTACTCCGTTAAGTTTCAATTTGTACGTACGTATTATCGAGTCTTAAGATCGTACGCTCGCTTTTCTTTTGTTTTCTCTTTTTATTTTCCTTTTTTATACGATAAGAATACGAGACTCTTGATTCCAGATTGCACGACGCGATCCGCGATTAATCCGCGCGTGTTGCACACAATATTTTCGAGTTAGATTTCACTCTTGTTGCCGCGTCGTCGTCGTCGTCGCCGCCACGGCCGGACGATTGTCACGGAATGCAAACGTACGAGAATCCGTGCGCGTTCACCCCGAGTGCGAAACAATACATATTGTAAGTCAAACGTACACACACATACATGCATACATATACATATACATATATATATATATGTATATGTGTGTATATATATATATATATATATATATATAGGTCCGCCTCGCGAAGATCACAATATAATTTAACACGTCGGTGTACTAGGTCGAACTTTTTTATACCGTAAGTCAGGGCGTGTCACATTTCCGTCGCGTTCGCGGGGTTCGCGGGGTTCGCGGGGACCGATGATAACACAAGAACGGGGGGAGAAGAGGAAGAAGGGCGCGCGCGCGCGCGAGACGCCTTTGCGCCTTTTCATCGTAGCGAGGCGCGTTGGGTCGGCTGTGCCTCGCGCTCACACGTGTCGCGAAGAGGGCGGCGGCGAACGACGCGATAGCGTCGATAGCGGAGAAAGAGGTCGCGGAGAGGGGCTCCGAGCCGCCCTGCTTCGCCCGGGGGCGCGAGGCAACCCCGGAAGGAAATCTATGCACCCCGCCCCCGCCGTTTTCCCCCGAGCATAGCGGGTTAGAGGAAAATTATGCACGCGCGCGTATGTAAGTCCCGGTGATTTAGAAGTAGCGCCAAAGCGAGATTACGCACGAGACGACGTATTACGGGAGGAGTCCGGGGGGCGCGAACCCTTTGGAGGAGGAGGAGGAGGAGGAGGGCGTATTGTGAAGCGACGAGCGGAGACGCGCCGGAGAAAGCGAGGAACCGGGCGACTCCTCCGGCCCGACATTTATCTCGTAATAGGAGTACGACCGGACGTAATGAAATGCGAACTGCATGGCCGTGTTGAATCGACCGGACGAATGATACATCGGTCCGGGACGTTACGGCAGATCCGCGAGTCCACGACGAACCCGAGGAACTTGACTGTGTAACGAGAAGGAGAACGGCCAAACGAGAGAGGAGGATACGCAGAGTCGGTATCCGACAACGCGCTTTACCGCCCAGGTGACTCCTTCTTCATTACGAAAGGCGTGGAGCGAGCGCGCAGCGCGCTAGGAAACGAACGCGAAGCGAACAAACTGTCTCGTACAAGCGAACGCAGAAAAAAAATGCGTAACCGTCGTGTCTTAGACGGAAACCTCTGCCAAACGGAGAACGTACATGTGTAATGTTATTAAAAAAAAAAAAAAAAAAAAAGTAGCGGGAGTAAAGACGTCTTACAATTAATGTCTACATATCACTCCAATACATAACAAGAGAGGGAAGGGAGGGAAGAGGGAAGAAGTAATTGCATTGGTGTACGAAAGCGTGAGGGGGGAGAGGTAGAAAGTGAGAGAGAATGCGAACGAAGTGCCAGGATGCCGAGAGCGTCGGGAACGTAAGTACCGGAAATGCGCGCTGGTGGTCTCTCTCTTTCTCCCTCTCTGTCCTTCTCTCTTTCTCTCTCTCTCTCTCTCTCTCTCTCTCCCCCTCTCTTTATCCATCTCTCTTTCTCGCTCTCTTTTTCTCTCTCTCTCTCTCTCTCTCGCTCTCTCTCTCTCTCTCTCTCTCTGTCGCGGGTTGCCGAAGAGATCCACGTGCGACAAAAGCGGTATTGACGGGTCTGCGTGGAGGAAAACGAGATAGAGAAAGAGAGCGGGGAGTCTCTTTATAAAGCGAGTATTTGTAAGTCACTTTTTGTCACACTGATTGTCAATAAAATGGAGAAATACTGTGTGTATAACGAGTGTGTGCTTCGGAGGCGCGACGAGACGAGCCGAGCCAAGCCGAGCCGAGCCGTGAACGAGAGGGTGGTTGTGACGGTGGTGGTAGTGGTAGCAGTCAGTGGTGGTGGAGGTGGTCGTAGTGGTGATACCTCTCGAGAAGAACGAAGCGCGATACATCGGAGCGCGCGCTCCTCTCTTCGCCCCCCTTCTTTTCTTTTGTCATCCGTTCAGCGTTTTCCACGTTCAGCATTTACGTTCTGCGGCTCGTGCGCGCGCGCGCACGACGACGACAACGAGGAGAGTTTGACATATGCGGCCGCCGCGCCGGTCGCTTTGTACAATTTTTTTTTTTTTTTACGTTGCCATAGTAACCGTAGATGATGTAATCGACCGTCCTCCGTCGGTCGCGAGAGAGATGAAAAAAGTTTATATAAAAAGAAAATACATATATATGTGTATGTATATATATATATATATATATATATGCACACATACACACACACACACACACACACACACGCTCGCGCGTGTATATACATACGCGTATATCCGAATTGTATACGATTTTTAATATACTTTATTATTATTTAATTTCCCTGCGTTCGTTGCTTTCCATCTTCCCCCGTCCACGACCATTTTATACTTCTCTTCCTCTTTTACTCCGCCGTCGCGTCACGTCGCGTCGTCGTCGTTCGTTCGTTCGTTCGTTCGTTCGTTTTTCTTACCCCAGTTTTTCCTCGCACACCCTCGGCGCGACGCCGCAGGGCGTGGCGTACCGACGCCTCGCGTTTCCCAAGTACAAATAGAAGCTGCGCTTTCGCCGTGTTGAATCGTCGCGAAAGCAACGGTTTACGTTTGCGTGCAGACTGTTTATACGTAAATCGCCTCTTTACCTCCACCGATAACACTCACCCTCTTTCTGTCTCTTTATTTTCCTCCGAGCTCTCCGCCAGTGTCCTCGAGAGTAAACTTTTCTAATCTTTATTTAAATCGATTCATTATTACACACGTATATATATATTTATAACGTACGCCTCTGTCGACAAAATTCCATCGCAAACTTCGCAAAAGTCTCGTAAAAAGAGCTCCAAGTTACTTCATTTAAGCGACAGCGTATCAAATATTCTCAACGAGCACTCTCTGCCGCACATTGCGCGACTTGCGGCAGACAAGAGAAATTCACGCTTTTTCTTTCTTTCTTGATTCATCGCCACTGCAAAGTTTCGTTACAGCAACTTGGTCGAGCAACCTTGGTGATAAGGAGACAACGACTGCATCGGGCAGATCGCCAGGCGAGTCCGGGGCGAACTACCCCGTGACGTGACTCACCGTGTAATGGGGATAAAGAGGAAGGAGACAGACGGGCGCAGAAGGGGTGCGGTCGAATTTATGGTTCGCTTCGAGGGTTATGCGTTTGCAGTCTGGTTACTTGTGCCAAGAGATAAGAATCTCTCTCTCTCTCTCTCTCTCTCTCTCTCTCTCTCTCTCCTTCTCCCGTAGTCGCGCCCGTCGTGTAGTTGAATCAACCGTTCGTGCTGCACGTAGCTTCTAATTGGATCGCCGTGACGTCGCGGGCACGAGAATCAACATCCCGCGATTTTGCGGAAAAATCGCTAAAACGACCGGCGAAGTGCCGGCGAGCGGACAACGTTCGATTAATATTGCGCGCTGGAGATTCTCTCGTCCTACGACGATTCTGTGTCACTGACAATGACGATCACGTGGGTCTAAGGATATAAGCGGCACACTGCCGGAGACTCATTCATTTTGTAATATGAAAACACAGTCCACGTCAGGACGAATTGCGAGCGATCCAATTTATTTACGGGATCGTCTCTCGCCGAAAGCGGCGCGTGCATTAGCGTTTCAGCGAACGAGTCTGGGTCAATCGTGGCAGCGGGTGGTCGGAACAACCGTCACGATTTCATTTCTATTGGGTTGGCAACTAAGTGATTGCGGATTTTGTCGACAGATGGATTTTACACTTTCTTTTATTTCGTTAACGTGTCCAAAGTACCTAACCTATATTTTTTTCCTATTGTTTGGACTTCTACCTTTCATTTAGTACAAAAATTATATCGATTAGTTGTTTAGTTTTGTTTTTATCCCAATTTAAAAATGGAAGAGCAAGACGCGCACTTCAGACGTATTTTATTGTATTATTTCCGAAAAGGCAAGAACGCATCGCAAGCGCACAAGAAGTTACGTGCCGTATATGGGAATGAAGCCTTGAAAGAAAGGCAGTGTCAAAATTGGTTTGTCAGATTTCGTTCTGGTGATTTTTCATTGAAAAATGCTCAACGATCTGGCCGTCCAGTTGAAGTCGATGAGACCCATATCAAGGCCATTATCGATTCAGATCGTCACAGCACAACACGTGATATCGCAGAGAAGCTCAACGTATCGCATGCATGCATTGAAGAAAATTTTAAAAAGCAAATTTAAAATTTTGCGGATTTTAAATAAGAATTTCCATTCTTATTTAAAATCCGCAATCTCACTTAGTTGCCAACCCAATACATTTAGCCCGGCTAAAGTAGAGGGAACGCGAAATTAATCAATGGAGGCACGTCATTTCTCGCGAGATTGCATACCGAGAGACGTCCAAGCGACCGGCCCGCACGACAGATCGAAAGACGCGATAAAACTTCGGTTGCTTGTTGAGGGAGCAAAAAAGGAACTCGTCCGAAGGATTGACAACGCAGCCGCGGTAAGGCGATTGCTTTTTCTCAGAGAGCGCGGCTCTCTGTACAGCTCTGCGAAGCGGCGCTAATCGTTTCCCCTCGACGCGATATCCGGTTTGCTCGATAGCCCGCTCCTCGACTCTATAATTAATTCGAGTCGCGAGTCGCGAGTGTAGCGTTTATCGCGCCTCGTTATTGAAATAAACGCCGGCGGTCGTAATCATTCGAGTCCGGCCGGACGCGAATTATTGTTTTCCGAGGGAGAAAGACGTCGCATAATGGCGCTATATCGACTCCGCGGGGTCATAAAATCGGAGTTTCATTGGCGGTATCGGATATCGGCCAGCCATCGCGCATTTGCATTCGTACCATTCATTATGCACGCGCGTGCAACGTACTGGGTGTCGCGGAATCATCGTCGCTCCCTGCACTCTCCGGCCTCTCGGTAGCACGGGATGATTCCACAAACGCTTGGAAACGCTCGCGACTCGACGTGCGCGAAACAAAGACGGAACTCGAATCTTCGCTCGAGACCTTTTCACGGCCGAGTCGTAATCCGCCGATTCGAGACGATTCCCGCAGGGAATGACGACCTTCCGATTTTTCATCGTCGAGGAGATCCCCGACGTCGTTGACGGGACACGCGACACCCAGTGACGACACCGTGTATATCGCGCTGAGCAAGCACACAAACAACCCTTATACCGATGGCAAAGGTCGCGCGCGGCCGCCGCGATAGCGGCTGCTCGATTTGTTTTCCTCTGAGAAATCAATCTCCGTGGTAATAATATATGGAGAGTAATGATGCAGCTGGGGCGTGTGCAATATGATTCTTTAAACGTCGACTTCTCTCTCTCTCTCTCTCTCTCTCTCTCACTCACTTTCCCGACGCGATCGATCGTACTTTCCCGTCGCGCTCTCCTCCTCCGTTCGCTCGCTCGCTCGCTCGCTCGTTCGTTCGTTCATTCGTTCGTGGAATGCAGATTACCGAAATACGATACATACGCCGATGCCTCCCGGCGAGGAAGCCCTCTGAATTAGATCAGCCGTACATTAATCCTCGCTGCGACGGAGCGACTCGCTGGATCCCTCATGATTAATTCATTCCGCGAGTGATTAAACGGAGGACAGTCGCTGTTCTGTTCTTAGACCGCTCACGTCGGCCCGCTTCGCGTATTACCATAAAGTCGCGTTAATCCAATCGTCTTTTCCGATTAAGTTCGCGGAAGCGCATGGGAGAGAGCATCCAGAGCGCGCCGCGCCGCCATATGCGAGACCGCCTTCTCCTCAGTATCATTATTGCGCATTGATTATTTTATCATTTTATCGACATGCGCAAATATTAAACGTGATGGTCCCACAGACGCGGGAGCGGAAGAGCGCAAATGCTCTTTCTTACTGCATACTCGAAACTGATGGTGCAAACACGAAGAGTCTCTCTCTCTCTCTCTCTCTCTCTCTCTCTCTCGATTGCTCGCTCCTGCTATTCTTGCAGGCGAAGCATGCACCTTGTCTCATAATAAAACGCGACTTCCGCCTGTTCCGCCCGATCGTCTTCGTCGGACGCTCGCGGCGTCCGAAGAGCAGCAGCGCGTCTAAGCCAGGCAACGACACCGCGGCGCGGCGTTAACCGTCAACAAAGAAGCCTCCTCATTTCGGTCCTGAAATAATATCGCTCGATCCGCGAAGTCGTCCCCCTCCTCGGCTGCCCTCGGCGCCTTGAAACAATATTTTCACAAGGGCGGCTGTCCGTCGCGTCGTAACCTCGGAAAATCCGGAGGTTATAATATCGCTGTTTTTCTCGGCCGGTCGGCCGGCCGTCTCATCGCTCCGGAACGCCCCGGCCCCGGCTCCGA